TGAAACACAGACCCTTGGCAATGTCAACAGAGGTGGGCAAAGGCCCATAACAGGTGAAACACCATGAAGAATGGGAATGTAATTTAAGTCATTTTGCCCTAACTTCCTCATCTGGAAACCAAGAGTAAAGACTGTATTAGCTGAAAGAGCTGTAACATACAATGCGTCCAATGCAGTGTCTGGTGCAAAGGAGGGACTTATGAACGGCTGATTGCTTCTCCACCCTCCCTCTACATGCTTGTTACCGCATTTCCATCTGTCTTGAGAGATTTTGTTAAAAAGAAAGAAAGAAATCTGAGTTGTGGAATTTGCAAACAAAATTAGGAAAATATATTTTTCCAGTTAAAGAAAATAGCTCTTGGCCTCATGCCGAAAATCTGTGCCCCAAGATCTTTATTCAACCCCTTCAAACACTAGAAAGATGATGTCTACTCAAGTATGGACACAGCATCCCTGTGGGATACAGCAGGGGGTTCCCTGGGTCCTGCATCCCATCAGGTGAGGCCTACAGTGTCCAATGCAGGGAGAAGGGTCTACTATATTTTCTGTCATAACAGCAGTGACCATGCTCTATGCCTGACCACACTGACACTGTCGTTGCCCCACAGAAAACACACTTTCCACCGAGCCTGTGGAGGTAAAGGAAAGGAACCTAGAGGGTGCCAGCCGCCTAGTTCAGGGCTTATGAGAAGCTCTTTCCTTTTCTCAAGGTTGCACAGAGACTCGGGAGAAAGTGTATGTACATTGGGCTGAATTTCTCCATCTGTGGGCTGGGCAGTAGAGGTGGCAGAGCAGAACAGAGCCTGGGTAGAAGTCTGCAGCAGGAGGGAGGCAGCCCGCCCCTGTCAGACAAAAGGAGGAGTGGATCTTCAGTGCTTTCTGCAGTCCCATCTGCTGCCCCCATGGTCACGCGGCCCCTGCAGTGCCTGAAAGGCTTACGGAAGTTGCAAACCACAACTAGACTTGAGAGATGGAGAAAATTTCATCTGCTAGAATTCCTCTAAGGAGGTTTTATCTTGTTAAGGGAAAACTCTTTGATGAGAGTTTGTGATCGAAGGCAGGATGGGGGAGCCTGAGTGTGTGTCAGAAATAATAACACTGGGGCTTCCCTGGCGGCGCAGAGGTTAAGAATCCGCCTGCCAGTGCAGGGGACACCGGTTCCAGCCCTGGTCCGGGAAGATCCCACATGCCACGGAGTAACTGAGCCCGTGCGCCACAACTACTGAGCCTGCGCTCTAGAGCCCGGGAGCCACAACTACTGAGCCCACGTGCCACAACTACTGAAGCCTGTGCACCTAGAGCCTGTGTTCTGCAACAAGAGAAGCCACTGCAGTGCGAAGAGCGCACACCGCAAGGAAGACCCAACGCAGCCAAAAATAAATAAATTAATTAATTTAAAAAATTAAGAGAAAGAATAAAACTTTTGTGAGGGTTAACTGAGATAGTAAGTGTAGAGCGATTGGAACAGTGCTGGGCGCCACAGTGAGGGCTATGGAAGTGTTTGCTATTTAATGTTGCTGTTGTTTACTTTATTGTTATTATTATCACCCTTAGCCGCTCTCTGGTGTGCATAGTTTTGTAAGTTTCCTTTTCCAACTTTTCTACTGCTAATATGGAAATGACTTCCCCTTCTGCTTCCTTCCCCCGCCCCAGCTTTATTGAGCTATAATTTGACATACGACACTGTGCAAGTTTAAGGTGTACAACCTGATGATTCTTTTGTAATAAATTTATATATTTTTGGCTGTGTTGGGTCTTTGTTGCTGCATGTGGGCTTTCTCTAGTTGCGGTGAGCGGGGGCTACTCTTCGTTGTGGTGCGTGGGCTTCTCACTGTGGTGGCGTCTCTTGTTGCAGAGCACGGGCTCTAGGTGCGTGGGCTTCAGTAGTTGTGGCACATGGGCCCAGTAGTTATGGCTTGTGGGCTCTAGAGCACAGGATCAGTAGTTGTGGTGCGCGGGCTTAGTTGCTACACAGCATGTGGGATCTTCTCGGACCAGGGCTCGAACCTGTGTCCCCTGCATTGGCAGGCGGATTCTTAACCACTGTGCCACCAGGGAAGCCCCAATGTGATGATCTGATACACATATATATTGTAAAATGATTACAATAAGTATTCCTCACATAGTTACCTTGTGTGTGTGTGTGTGTGTGTGTGTGTGTGAGAACATTTAAGATCTACTCTCTTAGAAATGTTCAAGTATAAGATACAGTAGTGTTAACTGTAGTCACCCTGCTGTACACTACGTCCACCGAACTCATTCGTCCTATACCAGAAGTCTGTACTTTCTGACTGACATCTACGCCTTTCCCTCCACCCTGACGCCCCCTCCCCTGCCCTGGCAGCCGCCATCCCAGTCTCTGTTCCCATGACTTCGACTTTTTTAGATTCCACATATATGTGAGATCATACAGTATTTGTCTTTCTCTGTACGACTTAGTTCACTCCTTTCCTGTTTCATTTTAAAGATAATTTAAATTACCTGAAGTTCATGAAAAATATTCTTAAAAAATTTTTAAATATCATAGATAAGGCAGAAGCCCTGAAAACCCCAGGTCTCAACCTTCTCCACAGAAGCAACCATGATTTTCAATTTTTGTATATATTTCCAGAAAATATACTCATGGAATACTCATAGGAATATATTTATACTCTTATAAATAAATTAATAATATAATATATGATACCTATCTATAGATAGAGATATAGGTAGATAGATAGATGTCTATTCCAGGCTCTGTTCCTAATCTCTCTCTCTCTGTGTCTCTTTCTGACTCTCTGTCTCTGTTTCTCTCTCTCTCTCTATTTACACAGTCACAGGAAATGTGTAGTATTGTTATTTGTATATATGTATTTTTAGCCAACAGTAAATACTGAGCTCTCATTCTGTAACCTGCCTTTTCAACAACAATATATTGGGGGTATGCTTCCATATTAATTAAGAATAGATTCACTTCATGCCTTTAATCCACTGTTGAGCAGGCCACAGAAAGGAGGTCATGTAATTTAACTGGATTCTCCCCTGCTGAAGGAAGTTTAGCTTGTTTGAACTCCCCCCATCCACACAGGACATATTGAACTAAATTGAAATATAAATGATCATCAGGGAGGAAACCCTTGCAACGTATATAACAAGGTGCAACATATATTAAGTTTCTGGATTATGATCAAGAATTATATAAAGAACTCTTCCAGATCGACAAGGAAAAGGCAAAAAGGACAGGAGAATAAATGAAAAAAAAAAAGGGGGGGGGCAGAGGTTATAAACAGGAAATTCAGAGGAGAGAAAAAATGGTCAATAAACATATAGAAAAATATTTTTCCTTCCCAGCAAACAGGTAAATACAAAGTCAAACTGTAAGAGGATATCTTTCCTACGCTACCTTGTCAGAAAAGAAAACACCTGATGGTCTCCAGTCTGGTTAGGAGGAATCGGGTTTTTTCAAACCCTGCTGGTGGGAGCACAGCTGGACAACCGGCTGCATTTTCAATAGGACACCCAGGGGCCTAGGAAGCCCATTGGCCGCAGAGTCAGGGCTCCCTTCCAAGTCCACGTCCGCTGCCAGGCTGGGGCTTTTGCACTGGGGGGTTGTGGTGGGGAGCAGTGAGCCTGGATCGGCCTGGAAGCAGGTACCAAACACCCCAATACCAACGGGGACACCTGTTCTCCTCCCAACCTTAGGACCTGCTGGTCATAGCTAATCACCCCTCATTCCTTCCCCCCAGGGTAGAATTGATCTCCAGATTCCTTCAGGGTCCCATTATCATTTAGCTTCTGTGGACCTCTATGAGACTCCACAGTTCAAGAGAGTAAGGCAGACGCTCTCAACTGTAACTGCCTGAGTTCAAGTCCCAGCGGGGGCACATTGTCTGACTTGCCTCCATTTTCTACCTGATAGTCTTGGAGTACCTGCCTCCCAGGTGGTGGTGATAACAGGATGGAATGGACCCTAAGGACCGTGGAAGGGGGACGGGTGGGAGTAAGAACGTGATAAATTATAAAGGACCATGAATGGTCTGAAGTCTACTTATGGACAAGGTTTAAATTATTTCCCAAGAAACTCCTAATCCCGCGTGCCCCATTCCCCTCCCCTGCAAATACAGCAAGATGCAGTGTGAACTGGGGGCGGGAATGAGCACAACGGCGGGGATGCCAGGTGTGTTTCCACCCAGCCCAGGCCCAGGGTCCTCACTGCTTTCTCCTACGAAGTTACAGCTTTCTTTGAAACATGACTAATTTTGTGCCTGTGTTGGACCAAGACACACAAAATAGGACTCATGAGTCATACACTAGGCAGTTTAGAAATGTAAGGTATTTGTTGAATGCACTGCACAATGAGTGGTTACTTGGGAGGGGGTACAAAACTCTTATTAAAATAAGGAAAAATCTACACGTCTTTGTATAAGACGTGTAGACACACAGTAGCAAGCAGTGGAAAAGTTATAATAAATGAGAAGTAGCAAAGTTCTGCTTCAAAGTTTAGTGATTGACATTAAAGGCGAGAAAACAAATAACTGCTGAGCATTTGCTGTATGCTCGGCACGGACTAGACAAGTTTATATATGTAGGATCAACCCTCACAATTCTGAGGTCATGTTGCCGAACCCATTTTCCCCGTTCACCTTTGTTTTTGTTTTTACGAGGGAACAGGTTTACCGAAGATTCAGACTGTTAATTTAAAAAAAAAGCCATTAGACTGAGGTGGTTTTAATACCTTATCTGCCTACATAAGCAAACTAAAGTCTAAGCCTGAACTGTCTCAAGGTTAAGAAATCAAAACCAATAGCCAACTGGGCTTTCCTAAATAAGTCAACCACTTAAGCTAAGTCCAATCAAATCATGTATTTGCTTTACTGCCTCCTCTTCTCTGTAAAGTCCTTCCTCCAACTCCTGCTGGTGGAGTGTTGCTAATTACTTCTGGTTTGGCGCTTCCAATTCAAATCAATTTGTTAAAAAAAAAACTTAAAAATTTTAATATGTCTCCATTTATCACATAATAGTTCTGGTGTCAAGAGGGATCTGAAGGAGACCCTGACAGCCCTGGGGGAGCAAGTAATGAGCAGTAAGTAACCTAGTAAGTTTTGTACTATCTTGTCTATCTCATGGCTAAAGTTTAAAAATGAAAGCTATAATATTTCTGTTTACATCTGTCTGTATGTTTATGTATATCTATATATGTGTGTTATACACATGTGACTTTCTACCGCCAAATGGTATTGCCAAACTTAATTTGTAAAAGAGCTCTATTTAATTGGTTTAAAGAAAAATAAATGCTTGTAAAGTTTTCTCAGAAATACAGAAACTAACGCAAATATTTTTCAAGTTCACATGATCTAGGATAATATTCAGTAAATAAAAGCTAGTTTAAGTTTTGTTGGTTTAGTTAAAATAAGCACTTCAGAGTTATCAATATTAAATATAGTGCAGACATACAAACTTTATTCTACTGGGTTTACTAAAAGTCACATAAACTCATGTTATCTCTATTTCAAAATTTGTCAGCAAAAAAATAACTTAAGATGATGGTTAGCTATTTAATGTATAGTGAAATTTTCAAGAATTAGCTAAACGTAATTGTTAAGAACAAATAAATTAAATAAATTTAAAAATTTATATAAATTAAATAGGTGTAAATAAGATAAATTTTTCAACAATAATTATGTTTTATGGTATGTCACCTTAAAAATAGTTACTGAAATCTTTCTGGTAACTTGAAAACTTTAAGTTCTACTAAATTAAGTTACATGATAGATATTCATGCTAAATTACATGGGAAGCATTATCAAATAAGAAGTGATGATAAACCGTCTTAGGTTAAGTATATATGGATATATGTTACTAATACAGGTATTCCAGAAATAGAAGTTAATAGAAATTTTCCAGTTTCTTTATTGTCCAATTATTATCTTAAACTGTTGTAGGCCACAGAAAGAACTAAATTTTCTTATCAAATAAACTCTCATCAGGTCTTTAACCACAGACCATTTTAAAAATTTGTTTATTTATTTAATTTTGGCTGTGTTGGCTCTTCGTTGCTGCGCTCAGGCTTTCTCTAGTTTTGGCGAGCAGGGGCTACTCTTCGTTGTGGTGCGCGGGCTTCTCACTGCGGTGGCTTCTCTTGTTGCGGAGCACGGGCTCTAGGCACGCAGGCTCAGTAGTTGTGGCTCGCAGGCTCTACAGCGAAGGCTCAGTAGTTGTGACATGTGGGCTTAGTTGCTCCGCGGCATGTGGGGTCTTCCCGGATCAGGGCTGTAACCCGTGTCCCCTGCATTGGCAGGCAGATTCTTAACCACTGCGCCAGAAGGGAAGTCCCAACAGGTCATTTTTTAAAGTTGTTTTGTTATTCACAGACAGTTATTGTTTTACTCTGATGCTTGCAAAAGTGCTTTGTCTTCAGAGAGATTCATGGAAAAGACTCTGACAAGTACTCTAGAATACAGGTTGCTGATAACTTTAAGATCAGACCACTGAATTGGGTAAGAATTTCCAAAACTCTGATGGAAAAACTGGATTCAAGCAAAATAAGAATTAATAACATAAGATTGAATAAACTGATGTGGATGATTATAATTTTTAATGACTTTTTGTTTGAAACATTGCTGACTCTTTAATGTTTTGGTTTTCCAGGTTTAAGAAAATCTTTTCTCTGAAACTATCTATGACTTAACATCAGTTTGGTAAATTACATATTTGTAAACAGAATTGAAACATTTACTTTTTCTCCCTATCCGATCCCTCCAGAATTTGAAAAAATATTGAGTGTTCTTATTTTCATGGCAATATAGTTATTGGCCTAAGTTCAATAAGTTCAATATTGTGTCCTGTTCTCCTTATAACAGGACACAATTGGAAACATTGGTTATATTACCAAGGCTTTGACTAGAATGTCATCTTTGAGAGTGATGTGCACAAAATCAAATCTGATCAGACAGTTTTAAAGGAACTAAGGTTGACTTTATAGAACCAATAAAGCCCCTTGGAAAAATCATCTGGTGTCTTGTTGACAAGGTTCCAAGCCCTGCCAGGTGAGCAATAAGGTCACTTCCTGGCAGCCCCAAGAGTAAGAGCAAATTAGGGGCCCACAAAAAGGGAGGAATTCACCAATTCACCCAAATCTATAGAGATTCCCAGCAAAGTCTGATGATAAGTCTTTAGCTTGGCTCCGTAGCCTAGAGAGGCCTTTAAAAGCCCATAAGGGGGCTTCCCTGGTGGTGCAGTGGTTGAAAGTCTGCCTGCCGATGCAGGGGACACGGGTTCGTGCCCCGGTCCGGGAAGATCCCACGTGCCGCAGAGCGGCTGGGCCCGTGAGCCATGGCCGCTGAGCCTGCGCGTCCAGAGCCTGTGCTCCGCAGCGGGAGAGGCCACAGCAGTGAGAGCCCGGCGTACCGCAAAAAAAAAAAAAAAAAGCCCATAAGGGATTCCTTATGAAAAGGTCCAGCAAAACTAACTTAAAGAGAGCCTATGGGGTCAGTCGCTATTCTTGCTGCACTTATGTAAATCATCAGGCCTAGTTTAATAAAACTAGACTTATAGTGCAAACAAATTAGTCTTACTTTGATTAACCTTTATAGAAATGGGAGAAACTATAGAGAGAAAAATCGTATTTTGATTTAAAAATATAGCAACGCTTGTGGGTATTAAACTCTAGTCCTCTTCACCATCTTTGAGATTTTTGTTATCTACTGGTAAACTGGATTGGATCCTGAATTCTTCTTGTTTTCTCAAATATCTGACTACAACTCTCCAGACTAATATCTCTGAATTTCTCCCACCATTTGGACTTAGAATCACAAAAGAACAAAGACTGCACTTGAAGCTCGTTGGAAGGGACCATACCGGGCCGCTACCCAGATGGCAGCCAAACTTCAGGGCCTGGAACCTTGATCCACATATCCCAGTTAAGAAGGGCTCCTCCATACTCTTGGAACTGCACACCAGGTGGAGATCTAAAATTAAAATGGACCAGGGAGGTTCCTCCCCAGAAGCAGATGACGCCTTGAGGTGGACAGCTCTCCCAAGATCACAGACCAAGATCTTCATCTCCAATATGAAACCTTTATTTCTTTTGCCTTTTCACTACTTGCCTTTTCTCTCTATTAATGCCTGAGAAGATAATGCTCCTTAACTCTGGCAACTACCACTGAATGGACTGCTAAGGTCATAGCTGCACAAGCAAGGTCCCTAGGCTTTCTTGTTAAGGGGGGGTTTAGATAATAGAACTGCTTTAGATCACTTATTGGCTCAAGAAGGAAAAGCCTGTGCCACAGCAAATACCTCCTGCTGTACCTGGATCAATACCTCTTGTACTGTAGCAAATACAAGGCATTAGCAAATGATTCACATGGCTAAAACAGGTTGATGTTCCTTTTGATAAATTCGTTGGTGTATTTGAAACCAACTGGTTTGCTTCCTGGGGGCCCTGACTACGGAACATACTTCAATCTCTTGATATCATTCTCTTGATAGTCACCATTGTAGTCTCCCTGGTGCACTGTATGCTCTCGGGGATACACGTTCGTAGCCATCAGCTGTACATCAGATGGTCTCACTTCACTTGGAGAAACAAACAAGATGAACAGCAAAAACCATTCTTCCACAAACCTGACATCGTAACCTCTGATTTTCATGATGAGACAGGACTGCTTAACCCCAATGGTGACTGACAGTGACACAACTTTTTGACGGGTCCCTCACGTCTGAGAGGATCACCAAATGAAGGGAGTCGTTAAATAAATGAAACAAGGAGGCCATGAGACTCAGGTGGCTCTAATGCCTCAGCAGCCTACCTTCCTAAGCAAACCCAGATCTAAGTGTGAATGCCTCAAGATTAAGAAATCAAAACCTTAGGACAACCAGTCACAAACATCCAACTAGCCTTTCCGAAAGAATGCAACTGCTTAAAGCTACAGCCAATCACATAGTTTCCTTGCTTTGCTTCTACCTTTTCTCTATAGAAATCTTCCCCAGCTCCTGCTGGTAGAGCACATAACCCCTTCTAATCTGGTGCCACCCGATTTGAATCAATTTTTGCTCAAATAAACTTTTAAAATGTTTAATATGTCTCCATTTGTCTTTTCTTGATATAATAGATTTTTTAAAAGTTTATTGGAGTATAGCTGATTTACAATATTGTGTTTGTGTTTTACAAGACTCATCTCTGACTGATCCCAAGCCCCCTGCACATCTTACTGCACCTGGTTTCCAAAAGCCTCATTTTGAAATCTTTTTCTGTGAACTCTAGGTAGGTGAGGGAAGGTGGGATTACCTGGGAAGCTAAATCCCTGACAACATGAGGAAAGCACTTTTGTGCCCTGGTGATTAGTAGATAGTTGATCTGGGTTACTTGGAGGGCAGAAATGTTTGTGGTTATTGATGGAAGAGGAAAGTGGGCAAAGGGTTAACCGAGAGAGAAGCAATGGGGGAAAGGAGCTTGGGAATGGCTTACTAAGAAATCGACAGGAGAAGGAGAGGAAATGAAAATGTCCCAAGCAAGTTGGAAGCAGAACCTAAAGACAGCCAAGAAAATTAAGGGTGTGTGGGAGAGAAAGTGATCCAGTGCATCAGAGGAAAATGAGGAGAACAGGCAGCCATGGGTTTGACCTGAAGACAGCTCGAAATACCCACCTGGTAACCTTACCCCTAATGAGCATGGCCCAAAGCTTATGTTCATTAGTAAGAGCAGAGCAGCTAGATGATTTTATATACACAACTGCATTGGCAGAGGGTGTTTTTTTCGGTAGATTTATTACATCATTTCCAAAACCAACAGTACAGTACGGTGCTGTGAAATGGAGTTTTCCAGAAGACACTGTTTTTCAGTAGACAGTATTCCCTGGTACTCTAGTGTTGAGCCATGGAGTTTTTGACTGGATTTACCTGGACAATAAAGTCTTTCCTTCAAAAGGAAAGATAGATACTGACAACGTGAAAAGAGCATCTGTATCTTCACTGGAGCAGTTACATCTCCTCCCGCTTTGATACTATAAAGAGGAAATCACTCATATCCATTGGCATTGTGACATTTTCTTAACCTCTACATTGGTTCTCTTTGCTCTTCCTGTTAAAACTCCACATGGTCGGGCACCTTCCAAAGACTACATTGCTGGGAATTATTTGGAGGACAAAAGTTCCCAGGACAAAGTTTCACGCTTTATGTAAACAAAACCCCATTTCTATTATTTTCCATTTAGCCATGAGCAATTAAGCTGGAAACACAAATGCGAAGTATATTTGTGATGACTTTGCATGTCCTCTGACACGAACCTCATTCTCTTTGGGATCAGCAGAACCTTTACTGGCATGGACAGATATCTTTGTTACACTCCTCCATTCTTGCATGACTAATTCATTTATTAACTTGATAAAATGCAAAGTTTGTCAGCATAAGGCTGGAGTCTCAATCCTAAATTAACTTTTTTTTGTCTAAAACAAAACTCTAAATGATACTTGCTGCTTTGAGGAACATCATTTGCTCTTTTCTATGTCAGATCCCCTTGGGGAGGTCATTGCAGCTCATATGTGGGAAAGGGCTGGAGAGGGGCAAAGATTTCTTTCCCATTTCTAGCCCAAAGGTGCCCTGTTGAGAAATGTGACCTTGTGCCACATGAGATGTGGAAAAAGAATAAGGAGGATATCAACAGGATATGAGAAGAGAACGAACCAGGCAAAATAAAATGTAGGAAGACCCCAGAGGGATGAGTTTTTATTGTCAGTACTGGAAGGGTTCTATACATCTTCTTGTAATAACTTGGAAATCACTGGAATTAAATTGTCATCAGAAAATAAAAGAACATAGAATGATTCCAAGATTATATGAGCATCTTCAAGAAAAAGATGTTGCCTTGCTGTCATCCTCACTAACTCTTTACCTGACTCATGCTATTAACGTGACTAAAGAGAACACAAGTCCATCCAGAGGGGGCGATGAGGGAATAGACTAGCAAAGAAAGAATGAGTTACTAGGAAACATATCCAGTGCCCATGGGAGGAATGAATGGGGACATGGAATAGTAACCAAAGGACTTCAAAGACTTCAGACCCACTGGCAAAATGACCCTTCATATGGGGATAGAAGCAGAGTATGGTAACCAAATCGCTATGCCTTGGGCAAGCCCAACCCGGTGGTGAAATGGATTAGCTGATCCTTTCAAACATTCCATTCAAATTACTCCTTTGTTTAGTTCCATGTTCACCCCAAATCTCTCTCTGATTACACCCTTCCTTCCTGTGAAACTCAGCCCACAGAGTCACTGTGCACTGACCCTACAGACTTTGAACATGGAAATGTTTGTGGAGTCATCTGCATTACAGATCACTGTGTTGGCATTCTCTTCGTATTGCTATGTTATTGCAGTGAGATAAATAATACGTGTATGGAGTCTGACAGATTCTAAGAATACCTCTGTCCGTGACATTCTGATATATAGGTCAGTCTTGTCATCTTGTTTCAGGTGATTCTGCCTAGGAGAAGTGGATACCTCATCACAGTATTTACAAAATCAGTGTGTCTGCCAAGAAGGTTCGAGCTACACCTGGAAACATGGAAAAGTCCCTGAGATAATACAGTTCTCCCTGCTAGATTTCTTTGGACGCTGGCTGATGACATCTCAAACTGAAAGCAGAGAGTTAAACTGTGCCTGCGGAAGAGCTAAAGTACTTTCCTGTAACTCCATGAAGGAACCTGACTCCCATAAGTGTCTGGGACACCGTATAAGCACAGTCCTTGGGCTCGGGAGAAAAGCTTCTATTATGACTAATTACATATGTTGGTGGCTTACACCTAAGAGCATTTGTCACGTGCCAAACACAGCACGAAAGTCTTCATGTACGTAATTTCATCTATTCCTCATAACAACTATGAGAGAAGGTTGTGGCATGGCCCCATTTGATAGATGAGGACACCGGGACCCAGATATGTTGAGGGATTTCCCTCAGTCCCACAATGGTGCAGCCAGATTGTCTTTCTCCAGAGCCGATGTGCTGACTGACTCCCTTGTTCCAATGACTGGTTTCTTCGTAAAAAATGTCTTTTGTTACAGAATGGTACCATTGAAGTCAGTGGCTTGTGGTCAACCTAATTGGCTAAACCCCTCCACACCAGAGGGACACTCTGCTCGCGATCACTGGCTGTAGCTACATTTTAGCTCCCAGTGCCCGTTGCGGCTCGCTGGGGCTGAGAGGATGTGCCTATAAAACAGAACACGGGGGGCTTCCCTGGTGGCGCAGTGGTTGAGAGTCCGCCTGCCGATGCAGGGGACGCGGGTTCGTGCCCCGGTCCGGGAGGATCCCACGTGCTGTGGAGCGGCTGGGCCCGTGAGCCATGGCCACTGAGCCTGCGCGTCCGGAGCCTGTGCTCCACAACGGGAGAGGCTACAATGGTAAGAGGCCTGCGTACCGCAAAACAAAACAAAAACAAAAACAAAAACAGAACACGGAGCTTCCCTGGTGGCGCAGAGGTTGAGAGTCCGCCTGCCGACGCAGGGGACACGGGTTCGTGCCCCGGTCCGGGAAGATCCCACATGCCGCGGAGCGGGTGGGCCCGTGAGCCATGGCCGCTGAGCCTGCGCGTCCGGAGCGGGAGAGGCCACAACAGCGAGAGGCCCGCATACCGCAAAAAAAAAAACAACAAAAAAAAATAACAAAGAAAAACACACAAAAAACCGAACACGGCTGCCATGACTGATGTACACTTTACATGCGGGGTAGAAGGCAAACAGTACTATCACTTTATATGAGGGGCCACATGTCTGCCATTTTGACCTCAGTTTTAGCCCATAATTTCATTGCCATCGGAAGTTTTTACCTCTACTTTGAACCTAACTGTTCCCCTGTGGAATTTCTGACTTTGCTGCCCGTTATTTTTCACAGAGGTTAAATGTATCTTCACTTAAAATTCTCCCCAACTCTACTCTACTGCCCTTAGAGACAGTCAATCCCATCTTCATATGCCTCAAAACTCTGCTACGTTCTTTTTTAGAGAGCCGTGTTGGCCTAGACCTTTGCATTTATACTTTTTTATTTTTTTTAATTTTTAAAAATGTTTTTAACATCTTTATTGAAGTATAACTGCTTTACAATGGTGTGTTAGTTTCTGCTTTATAACAAAGTGAATCAGCTATACATATGTCCCCATATCTCTTCCCTCTTGCATCTCCCTCCCACCCTCCCTATCCCACCCCTCCAGGTGGTCACAAAGCACCGAGCTGATCTCCCTGTGCTATGTGGCTGCTTCCCACTAGCTATCTATTTTACATTTGGTACTGTATATATGTCCATGCCTCTCTCTCACTTCATCCCAGCTTACCCTTCCCCCTCCCTGTGTCCTCAAGTCCATTCTCTACATCTGCGTCTTTATTCCTGTCCTGCCCCTGGGCTCTTCAGAACCATTTTTTGTTTTTAGATTCCATATATATGTGTTAGCATATGGTATTTGTTTTTCTCTTTCTGACTTACTTCACTCTGTATGACAGACACTAGGTCCATCCACCTCACTACAAATAACTCAATTTCATTTCTTTTTATGTCTGAATAATATTCCATTGTATATATGTGCCACATCTTCTTTATCCATTCATCTGTCTGACACTTAGGTTGCTTCTATGTCCTGGCTATTGTAAATAGAGCTGCAATGAACATTGTGGTACATGACTCTTCTTGAATTATGGTTTTCTGCGTTTATACTTTATTCTTCAAATACAAACCCAGGACCCAATGTGTTTCATGTACCTCCAAATGAACAATGGGCAGGTTTCCAGAAATTGTGTTGCTCTGGTAGACGTCCAGGGTGGACCCATCTCAGACGTACATAACTAAGGCCAGAGAGCCTGCCCCTTCCCAGAGACAGAAATTTCACAGTAGGAAGGGCCTATAAAGGGGAGCCCATTTTATAGGTAAGGAAACAGAGCCACAGAAGCCATTAATTTGCGCCATCATTAGCTGGTTGATAGCTGAGTACATAGTAAATGCTCAATACATATTAAGTGAATGAACAAGTGAATGAATAGATGGGTGATAAATCCATGGCTG